TTCTAGATATAAGTCCCTTATCAGACATGTCATTACCAAATATGTTTCCCCAGTCTTCTCTTTTTACCCTGTTGGAGAAGTTTTTGCAGGTGCAAAAGTATTTTATTCTTAGAAGGTCCCATTCATAGATTTTATCCACTCGTGGTTTTAAGTTTTTCAGGATGCTTGGAAGACTGTTTATGTTGTGGATTAGGACTTCTAGAGTCCTTCCAAGCTTTTGTCTAATGAAGTTTATAGTCCTTGGTTTTAGTCCTAGGTCCTTGATGCACTTTGTGTTGGCTTTTGTGTATGGAGTGAGGTGTAGATCTTACTTGAGTTTTCCAATTTTGCCAACACCATTGTCAAAAAGGCTGTCATTTCCCCACTTAACTGATTTCATCTCCTTGTAAAAAATCAGTTGACCATAGGTAGATGGGCTGATTTCTGGATTGTCAATTCTATTCCATTGATCTATGTTTCTGTCATTGTATCAGTACCATGATGTCTTGACCACCATAGCAGTGTAGTAGGATTTGAAATCAGGGAGTGAGATGTCTCCTACATTGTTTCTTTTTCAGCACTGTTTTGCTTATTCGGAGCTTTTTTCCATTCCAAATGAGTTTGGAGATTGCCTTTTCCATCTCTTCAAAGAATGAAATTGGTATTTGTATTGGGACTGCACTGAACATTTAAATTTCCTTTGGTAGTATTGTAATTTTCTCAATATTGAGTCTTCCTATCCATGAGCAATGTATATTCTTCCATTTCTCCAGGTCTCTTTTTGTTTCTTGTCGTAATGTTTTGTAATTTTCTCTGAATACACCTTTGTGCTTCTGGTTAGATTTACTCTCAAGTATTTAATCTTTTTATTAGCTATTGTGAGATTGTTCACAGCTTTAGTTTGCTTGGCTCCACAGTCAACACTCTTGGCACCAGTAGCCAGGAAATTAAAAGGCGCATTGTCATGGGAAAATCTGCTGTTAGGGACCTCTCCAAAGTACTGAAGAGCAATGGTGTCTCTCTGGAGACTAAGGTGCGTCTGATACAGGCCATGGTCTTTGCAATCACTTGTTATGCATCAGAGAGTTTGGACAATGACCAAGGAGGATAGAAGGAGAATTGACGGCTTTGAACTGTGGTGCTGGAGAAGAGTATTGAGGTACCAAGGACTATTAGGAAAACAAACAGATTCATCCTGGAAAGGGTTAAACCGGGTGGCTCCTCGGAGGCAAGGATTCTGAGGCTCTGTCTAATATACTTTGGACATGTTGTAAGGAGAGACCGGTCCTTGGAGAAAGACATCATGCTTGGTAGGATGGAGGGACAGCGAAGGAGGGGAAGGCCCTCTATGTGGGGGATTGATTCAGTGACTGGGATAATCGGGATGGGAATCAGAGACAGTGCGATTGGCACAGGACAGAGCAGAGTTTAAGGCTGTTGTACGTAAGGTCACTATGAGTTGCAAGCTACTCGATGGCACATAACAACAACAACACATTGTGACGGGTATTGTTTTTCTTAGCTCCAGCTCTGTGTTCTCTTTGTCACTATAGAGAAATCCAACAGATTTCTGTATGTTGATCCTATATCTTGCCACTTTGCTGGATTGGTCAACTATATCCAGTAGTTTTCTTGCTGAGTCTTTAGGGTTTTGTCTGTATAGAGATAGAAACTCTTATACATTGTTGGTGGGATTGTGAAATGGTGCAACCACTCTGGAAGGCAATTTAGCAGTTACTGCAAAAGCTGAACATAGAAATTCCATTATGACTCAGCTATTCCACTGCTTGGAATATACTCAGAGAGAATGAGAACTGAGGTACAAATGGAGAGGTGGACACCAATGTTCATAGTAGCATTATTCACCATCACAGGAACATTGAAATAGCACAAATGTCCAACCACAATCAAATAGATTGAGAAATTATGGTACTTTCAAGTGATGGAATAGTACACAGCATATAGGAGCAATGATTTTGAAAATCGCTACCTAACGTGTGAGGGACTGGAGGGCATTACGCTAAGTGAAGTATATCAGTCCCATAAGGACAAATACTGTATAAGATCATTATTGTAGAACATGTACGAGGACCCAAAGGGGGAAGGGGGGAAACAGAGGGGTGAAGATGGAGGTGGTGGTGACTAATCATAGGGTTGCATAGTTTGGTGAGTGGAGGGAGGTAAAGGAAATGGGTAAGATCCAGTGTGAAATGCAATGTATATGTACTTTGTAACTAAACCAGTATGAAAGAAAATAATAATTTAAAAAAGAAGCTGTGTACCATCATAGAGCTGTGTAAGTTCATTCAGCCCACACTGAAAAACATATCTTGTTGTTGTTATGTGCCTTCAAGTCTCTTGCAACTCATAGTGATTCTAGGTACAACAGCTCTGAACTCTGCTCTATCCTGAGACAACCTTATTGTCTCTGACACACCTACCACCATTACCCCAGTCACTGAGTCAATACATCTTACCTAGGGTCTTCCTCTCTTGCGCTGTCCCTCTACCCTCCCAAGAATGATGTCCCTCTACAAGGACTGGTCTCTCCTTGCAACATGCCCCATGTATGTCAGGTGAAACTTAAGAATCCTTGTCTCCAAGGAGCAGCGTGGTTTGACAGTCTCCAGCATGAGATGGATTGATTCAGTGACTGAGGTAATGAAGGTACATGTGTCAGAGGCTGACACAGGATAGAGCGGGTTTCAGGGCTATTGTACATAGGGTCGCTATGAGTGTCAAGTGATTTAATGGCATATAACAACAATGACACAGACAGATCTGTTTGTTCTCCTATAAGTCCATGCTATATTCAATACTCTTATCCAGCACCACAGCTCAAGCCAGAATTGATTCTTCTCTGTCATCCCTAGTCATTGTCGAGCTTTCTGATGCATTGCAAGTAATTGCAAAGACCATGGCCTGGATCGGGTGCACCTTTGTCTCCAGGTTGACATTGTTGCTCTTCAGTACCCTGGAGACGACTGATAGAAGACTTCCCAATGCAATTCATCTGTGATTTCCCGGCTTCTTGTACATAAAGATAAGGATAGGGTCAGACTTCCCAGATCTGTTTTCCCTGGTAATCTGTTATGATGGTCTAAGAAACCTCTGTTTCTCTCTCTTGTTCTCACCTGGTGTTGGTGGTTTTCTTGTATATCCGAGTCAGAACTTTCCAGTTCTTACTCAAAGAATCCCCTGGACCTCTTTTGGAAATCATCCTCTTACCACAATTTAAGCTTATGAACAACAGATTGGAAACTTATCCTATCCTGAGCCATCCTTGTGATGTCTAATATGCTCGAGCCTATTATTATTTTTTTATTTCAATGAACATTTACAGAGATTTTGGATTTCTATTCATTCATTGTTGCAATTTTCTCCCCGCCCACCCCACCCCCACCCCCAGTTTGCTCTTCTCCTTGAAAAGCAAAAGAAAAACTCCTTCATTGTTATATAATCCTCCGTACCCTCCCCTCCCCCGAGTATACTCCACTCTGCAACCCTCATTCAGAACTCTTATGATAATCATAATGCCCTAAAATATATTGCTTTTAAACTGTTCTCTCCCTCATCGGCTTCAATACAGTATACATAATTTATCCAGTTTTTCTCAGTCTTACCCCAACCCTGATGTCAGTCTCATTCTACAACAGTGGCACCATGCAGTATTTGTCCTTTTGTGACTGAGATATTTCACACAGCATAATGTCCTCCAGGGTCACCCATTTTGAATAATATTGCATGAGTTCCCTGTTTTTCAATGTAGCATAGTATTCCATTGTGTGAATACACCATAGCTTCTTCATCCATTCATTTGTTGATGGGCACTTGGGTTGTTTCCAACTCCTTGCTGTTGTGAATAAAGCCGCAATAAACATGGTGTGCACATATCTGCTTGGATGTCGGTTATGGTCTCTTTAGGGTATATTCCCAGTAGTGGAATTGCTGGGTCAAATGGTATCTCTACTTGCAACTCTTTGAGGAAGCATCCAAGTATCCTGAAAAATCTACAACAAGCAGAAGATAAAATAAATGAATTGGACCTTCTAAGAATCAAATCCTTATGCACTTCCAAACACTTCTCCAATAGGGTAAAAAGGGAAGCCACCGACATCTGGGGAAAAGTATTTGGGAATGACATGTCAGATAAGGAACTTATATCTAGAATTTATAAAATACTTGAGCACCACAACAAGATAAAGGTAAATAATCCAATTTAAAAATGGGCACAGGATATGAAGAGACACTTCGCCAAAGAAGACAGAGGCCAACAAGCACATGAAGAAATGTTCAAAATCCCTAGCTCTAAGAGAGATGCAAATCAAAACAACCATGAGATATCATCTCACCCCAGTCAGAATAGCAAAATTTAACAGACCAGCAAGCAACAAATGCTGGCGAGGTTGTGGAGAGACTGGAACCCTATTCACTGTTGGTGGAAGTGTAAAATGGTGCAACCACTGTGGAAAGCGATGTGGCGTTTCCTCTAGCCTATTCGTATTGTCATTGTCTCGATCCATCCTGTTGGGGACCTTCTCTCTCTCTGACCCTCCATCTTTCCCTGTATGATATATTTTTCCAAGAACGGGGCCCTCCTGAGGACATGCTGAAAGTAGAACAGTCCATACTTCCATGTTGTTCAAACTGCTCCAAACTACATCTCCCATCATGCTCTGCTGTTGATCTGACCTCATCTTAAAATGGTTCCGTTGGAGAACAAGAACGTTTAGTTTTGAGCATAATTAAATATCGATCCTTACTGTCAGTTGTTAGGGCTTTTGAAATATTTATCAAACTCCTTGTATGACCTGTGTCCACTATATGGAGGGGTTAACGCCTGAGAAGGTCCCTCTGTTCTCTCAATTTATTAGGGATGAGGGACAGTGTTTCCGGCGATCTAAATAGGAAGGAATTTTGACCAGAGAGCACCTGCGGCCAATCACAGAAGCAGGAACTAGAGCCTTGAGTTCCAAAAAAGCCGGATCTCGAAGGTCATTTTGTTCTGTTAGGAGGGGAAGATGGAGGAACCTGAAGAACTGATGGACCAAGGGCAGCCACTGCCTCCAGTTTACATCTACAGCCCTGAGTATGTCAGGATATGTGACTCCTTGGTCAAAGTCCCCAAACGGGTAAGACAGCTTGGGACCGAAGACCATGAGGTTTTTTGGGGTTGTGATGAGAGGGAATGTGGGAAGGCTGGTTGTGTACGCAGGGAATGAGACCAGTTTAGGAAATGGAAAGGATACGTAGAGAGGGGAATCTTCAGGGCAAAGTTGAACTGTATTAGGTGAAGGAGGAAGTATTCCCATAAAGTTTCGGAGACCCCCAGTTTGTCCAGCGAACGAGGGGTACAACGGCGGGGATAATGTTCCTTAATACAAAGGATTTGCTGAAGTTACTGGCAAAGAAGCTGCTGGAGAAAAGTGTTCCCCTTAGTTAGATAGGTGACTTTTGTGCTTTAGATACTTGGTGTCTATACCTTTGTTTGTAACTTACGTAATCAGAAGGCGAGCCAAAACAAAGTTAATTCCTTTGCTTCAAGAGAATGAGATCTGTGGGATTTGGCTGAATTGAATTTTTAAGAAACATTAAGCACAGATTCTTCTCTTTTTCTTTTCTTTCTTTCTTTTGTGTGTGTGTGTGTGTGTTTTTTTTCTTCGTGCTGAATAGGCCAGTATGGTTCACTCTCTGATTGAAGCATATGCACTGCATAAGCAAATGAGGTAAGTTGTTTTTATTTCCTGAGTGTAAATCTCCAATCTAAGTATTGTCCTTCTTGACAGTGGGAGAATGAGATGTTTTAATGTGTGTATTTCTCCCTAAAGCTTTTATAATTTACATGTAATCTTTTAGGAATTAAGAAAACGGAAAAAAAGTTTATAAAGTAGTTAAGATACCTTAGAAATAGTTTATTCCTGAGAGGAGAAATAGTTGAGGGATCAGTTCCTTTTGTTGATTTTGAGGTTACTGTATTTAAGTACTAAAACCTGTCTGATAAGAAAAGTGAGAACTTGGTGGTGTTTTTGTTCTTTTCCCCCCTCAGCTCCATTGGAGGGTATGTAGTATTTTCAGACATAAAGGGATGGTTTCAACTTAAGGAATTAAAACTGTCCAATTTCCTTGCTGTTATTCAGATAGTCTGTTATTGTTATGTGCCATTGAGTTGCCTGTGGCTCATAGCAACCCTATGTACAATAGCTCTGAATCCTGCCCTGACAAGGCCAGGAGATATCTGGTAGTTCAACCTCTAGCACTGTTCCATTTATTTAACCAGTACAATACTATACTAGTTGATCATTCAGTATTCTGCCCATAGCATCCTTCAGTATTGCTTAATACTAATTGCTTCATAAAAGTAAGTTACACAACAACTCACTGCCATCAATTTTATTCCACTCATTGCAATCCTACAGGATAGAGAATTGTTCAATGAGGTTTCTAACGCTATAGTCTTTGCAGAAGTGAACTGCTATGTCTTTCTCTCATGAAGCGATTAGTAGGTTCAAACTGCTGAAATTGTTTAGCAGGTGAACATTTTAACTTCTGACCCACACGGACTCCTTAGTAGTTTGTATAGTTATATTAATTACTGATAAATTTGTGATTAGTGCTCCCATTCAGCATACATAAAAAGATGCTTTCGCCTCCCTCTGACTTAAGTAGATGCTTCTCCACTTCTTGAATCCTCATTTTGCTTTGAGAAAACAAACTTCTTGTTAAAATACAAATACGTATCTGAGTTAAAGATGAAGTTCTGCATTTTCAGCATTCTCAGGTGATACTAATGTTTAATTGCAAGGGCTAGAGAATAGTAGTGGCAGTGGTGGGATCGAGAAGAAGTGTGGAAGGAGCTCATAGAGGTGATAGGTTTTGTTGTTAGGATAACTCTTATTATTGCTTTTTCTCCCTCTTTTTGTGAAGTTGAAAGTTAGTTTCAGAGTGAAGCTTGATTCTAGTCTTTCTGCCCTTTCTCTCCTTTGAAAATCAGATGTGATGTGATTTGAGTTTGGCATTTAAAAATGTATCATTCTATTCTCTTCATTTTCTGCCACACCACGGTCTACTTCAGATAGCTCACAGAGACAATCATCTGCCTCACCTAGGTGTTTTTCAGTTGTTTGTTTATTTTAAAGCAAAGGGGAAGGGGAAGGGACTAAGACAGATGCTGGGCTATGTTGGCAAAGTGGCATCTTGCAGTAATTACCTAAGGTGATTTTGTATATTAATCTAAACATTTTTATTCTTTAGACACTATTACTTGAAAAACTGTTATAAAATAATGTTTAAAGTTATAAAGAGATATGGAAAACAGCTGTTATATCACTTAGTATCAATAAATATCTTTTTACCTAAAATAAAAAGCAGATGTGAGAGACTAATTTTTAAAAGTGTACATTTTGAGTTACTTTTAATATTAATAATAGGCATTCAGAAGTATTTTTAATATATTATTATTTTATAATTTTTGTATTTATCATTACCATTGTCATATACACTTATTATTATCAATTTTTTCATATATTGTTATTTTATCTCCACTTGCCTCCATTTTACTGATGAAGTAACTGAGTGAAAACTATAATGTAGTGGAAGAATAGAATATTTCTTGCTACTGAAATCAGAAGCTGGGAATAGCTGACATCCAAGCAGATATATGCACACCCATGTTTATTGCAGCTTTGTTCACAATAGCAAGGAGTTGGAAACAACCTAAATGCCCATCAACAAACGAATGGCTAGAGAAACTGTGGTATATTCGCACAACGGAATACTATGCTGCATTAAAAAACAAGGAACTCATGCAATATTATTCAAAATGGTTGACTCTGGAGAACATTATGCTGAGTGAAATATCCCAGTCACAAAAGGACAAATATTACATGATGCCACTGTTGTAGAATGGGACTGTCCTTGGGGTTGGGGAGAGACTGAGTAAGATGGGTTCAATAATGTATACTGCACTGAAACAGAGGAGGGAGAGAACCGTTTAAAAGAGAGATATAACTGGGTATTTCTGTCATCACAGGAGACTAGAGCGAGGGCTACATGGTGGAGGGGACCTGGGGAAGGGTTTGTAAAACAATGAAAGAATCTTTTCTTTTACTTTTCCATAATTATTGGACTCATGTACTTATAACTTGTTAGTCAAATTTGTGTCTTCTAGGTTGCAACACCCCCATGATACATCTTCAAGGATATGAACATGTACGGCCAAGCACAATCAATAAGAGTGCATCTAAATTCCAAAATCAATCTCCATAATAGTCTATGTGTTTCCTACTGCCAAAGGGGCCCTTTAGAGTAGTGAGAGAAGATCTTCACCCTGAAACCCACAGCGTCCCTTTTCAGCAGGAAGTAGCTAAGAGAATACGCCATCCCCTTTTCCTTATGACTCAGGGTGAAGTCTCTCTCAGGGAGGAGTGATAGGGAATGGCAAAGGACACACTGACAAAGAAGATTAATCAGAACTGGCTTTGACAAGCACTGTGGCATTTGGACAAGAACAAACTGGGAGGAGGATAGAGGGAATAGTGCAACAATGAATGAGTGGAAGCCCAAAATCTCTGTAAATGTTTATGAAAATTAATAAAATATAATTATAGAAAAAAAAGAAGCTGGGAGTTGAATTTTCTATTCAGATTGCTGGTTCCTTTGCCTCATTCACTCACATTTTTGTGTTCTTTCTTTTATTATTAGGATTGTTAAGCCAAAAGTGGCCTCCATGGAGGAGATGGCCACCTTCCATACAGATGCCTATCTGCAGCATCTCCAGAAAGTCAGCCAAGAAGGAGATGATGATCATCCTGACTCCATAGAATATGGGCTAGGTAAAGTTGTTAGCGGGCAATGATGAGAGTTATACAACTTCCATCTGTAGATTGTAACTAATCAATCTAATAATTTATATTTTTATTTTAATAATTTTTTACTTTACAAATATGTTTACCATTAAGCTTAGTCTCTTGACATGGCCACCTGATTTCTCAAGCAACCAATATGAGCTGACCAAAACAATGAGTCAAATAGAGGAAAACTTTTGGTGGCTTAGGCCCTAAAGCCCATTCTCCTCAAGTCATTCTGAGCTCATAGAAAGCCTCCTTTGGGTTTCTAAGATTGTAGATGTTAACAGAAAGAGACTGTCCATCTTTCTCCCACAGAATAGCTGGTATACTCAAACTTCTGATTTCTTAGTAGCACATACTGCACCATAGGGAGTCCTAGTGGTAAGAAGCTGCACTGCCATCTTAAAGGCATGTGGTTCATATCCACCAGCTCTTCTGTGGGAGAAGGATGGACAGTCTCCTCCTGTGCGATTTACTGCCTCTGAAAACCCACTCAAAGCTCAGTTGTGGTTCAGTTCTGACTCAGTGATACTTAACAACAACAGAGCTCTTTAGGCCTTAGTGTCTTATCTGGTGTATATAAACTGTTTTGGTTGTCCTCTGATCTTAAATATTTAACTTGTTAAGTCCCATCAAATCAACTGCAACTCATAGCAACCCTATGAACAGTGGATCTATACCATCCTCATCATATCTGACACACTTGAGCCCACTGTTAAAGTCACTGTCAATCCATCTCATTGAGGATTGACTACTCTCCTTCACTGAGCCTCCACCTTTTCCAAGGATTGGCCCTTCCTGATATGCCCAATGTACATGAGATAAAGTTTCACTACCCTTGCTGCACCTTTTCCAAGACATACTTGTTTGTCCTTTTGGCTGTCCATGGGATATTCAGTACTATTCTCCAACACCACGACTCAGAGGCATAGATTCTTCTTTTGTCATCCTTACTCATTGTCCAACTTTCAGTTACATAGCAAGTAATTGAAAATATCATGGTCTTCAAACTGACATCTTTACTCCAGCACTTTGGAAAGATACCTGACAGCAGACTTTCCTAATACTATATGTCTTTTGATTTCCTGGATGCAGGTGGCAAGGGTGTTAATTGTGGAACCATGCAAAATGAAGCCATTGACAATGTCTCTCTCTTCTCCATCTATCATGATGTTGCCTGTTGGCCCTGTGGCAAGGATTTCCGTTTTCTTGATGTTAAGATGTAATATATATTGAAGTCTTTGATCCTCTGCAACAAGCATTTCAAATACAAATTAAGGCCAACATTGAGAAGAATGGGAATCCTAGAACACTATGAAACATGAGTACTGGTTAAATTTTCTATCTTATCTCTCATTTGTAAAACAGTAAATGGCCAACATGAATTAGTAAAAAGAATACTGGACTAGGAGTTAAGATACCAGGGTTGCGATTTTTACTCTATGTGACTATAGACAAGACATTTCTATCTGTCCTCAATTTCTCTGATTGTACATAGGTTGTGACTAAGAGTTCTAGTGTCGTCGTCTGTAGTGTTTTGCATTATAACCAAAGGCTGTACATCACTAGTAGTTCCAGTCACCAGCAGATTTGAGGAAGAGTGATGAGCAGTTTCTTGGTGTTAAGATTTACAACCTTGGGAATTTAATGGAGCATTGCTATGAGTTGGACTTGACTTGATGCCAGTTTGTGAAGTTGTGACTAGTTAATTTTCATTCCTTTTGCCAATATTGTGAGATGTTTCTATATCAGTTGGAGTTAATGTTAACAAAAGCATTTTTTGATAAATTTTTACATCCCAACCTGCTCTTTTTCTAGAATTCATGTCTTGCCAAAATCTCATTTATGCCTTAAGGTTATGACTGCCCAGCCACTGAAGGGATATTTGACTATGCAGCAGCTGTAGGAGGGGCTACAATCACAGCTGCTCAGTGCCTGATTGATGAAAACTGCAAAGTCGCAATTAACTGGTCTGGAGGATGGCACCATGCAAAGAAGTAAGAAAATAACCTTTCTGGTTTCTGGCTTTACTTAAGTAAATTTTCAGTTATATAAACTTATATGCTTATTTTGTTGACTTTTGTTGTGAGATTTGTGTATATGTATGTATGTGTGTGTGTATATATATGTATACATATAGTATTTTACTAAGCATTCTGAAGATGGACAAATAGAAGAAGATGGCATAAACATAACATGGTAGAAAGAATACTTTCTAATTGAAAGTCAAAACACTTGATCTTTAAGCCTAGCTTTACTCCTAAATCAGTTTATTCATCTTTAAAATAGGCAGGGCAAAAAAAATGTAACTATAAGATCCCTAACCTCCTTTTCAGATTTCTGAAAATTCTCTTGACTTCAGGAGACTTATACTCTGTGAACATTAGCAAGATTAGATAATTAGAGAGTAACATCAGTTATGGTTACTCTTGTGTACCGTAAGTCAGAACCAGCACATAGCTAACCCTCTTGTGGGTTTTCAGAGGCAGTTAATTGCATGGGAGGAGATTGCCCATCCTTCCCCTATGGAGCAGCTTGCAGATTCAAACCACATACCTTCAGAATTGCAACACAGCTTCTGACCACTAAGCCATCAGAGATCCCTTCAGTTATGGTACCAGTTTAATTTAGGCGTGAATGAACCAAAACGATTTAACATTGGGAGTTAATTTTAAAGTCAGTTCTTTAAAGAAGTGGCAAACGTTTTCAAGTAAGTGGAAAATTGATAAGAATAGATTTTTTAAAAATGATTACAGAATCAAGGAGGCTTAAAATGCCATTTCTAAACAAAGTGGTAAACTAGAGTTAACGTTCTCTAAGAAAGGACTTATGAAACATTTATTAGGTATTGTTGTTGTTGATTGCCTTCAAGTCGAGTACAACTCATAGCGACCCTAAGAACAAAAGGCCTGAAGCCTTTCTATAACTGTCGACATTCATCAAAGTTCATAGAGTTTCCAGAGGCATGTTTAGGAAGTAAAATTAAAGGAAAGTCCTCTTGGAGTTTTACATGAACAATTCCAACAGAAATACTTTGGCAAGGACTGTTGAACTTAGCATTTGGTATCTTATTTGATATGTTTGTAGTATTTAGTAAATCATGGAGGACAAAGATTTTTAAGGCTAAATGTACCAGTTTGCTGTCTGAGTGAAATAAAGCAGTTGTTTAGTAATTTCCAGTGTCAGTAAAAATTCACAAATCAAATATTCATCCTATTGCTCATGGCTTAGTTACTCTGTAGTAAGTACTCTAGAGTTGAGAGAAAATGGCCGTTTTTTAATTTTAGAATAAATCATTGAGCACAATTTTATTCAGATTAAGATAATGCCATAGAATACTTTTCATTCTTAGACCTATTTTATGACCAAAGAAGTCTTAAAAATGTTTACTATTAAAATCTACAACTTGGACATAAGACCAAGAAAACCAGTATTTTGTAATGAATTCTATGTAATTTTAAAAACAATCTTATTTTTGTTAGCTCTTGCCCTTTTTGTAAAAAGGTCAAGATAAGGATATGATCTGTAGGGGAGGAAAATGATACTCTTTCCCTCAAGCTACAGAACAAAAGGAAACAAACTTCTGTGTTCACATCTGGTACTAGGAACACATCTAGTTTTTGCATGTGGCACTGGAAGATCTAAGTACTTAAATTTACTGCAAAAGGCATAGTAGCACCTGAGGGAGTCTCTAGTTGAATGCTCAGATACTTGTCTCTTCTTATTACTGCTTTGTTGCTAAAGCAAATATACACTATCTTGAACCAATCATCACTGTTTCTGGACTGTGTACACATGCCAAAATCAACTCACTTTGTTATATAAATGGTTTAAACAACTTTCCTGGTATCCTATCTAAAAGCATAGTCTGCCATGCCAGGAGTAACAAACTGAGGAGGAATGGTATTACATTCATAGTGCAAAAGAACGTTTCAAGATCTATTCTGAAAAACAATTCTGCCAATGTAGTGTAATACTAATGAAGAAATTTAGAATTTCTATTAATGTTATCAACTCAACCCATTGCTGTCAAGTCAAAACTGACTCAGCTGATCCTCCAGTGTGATTTCAGAGGCTGTTAAATCTCAAGGGGGAAGATTGTCCATCTTCCTCCCTGTGGAGGGAGAACCATATACATTTGAGTTGGCAGCGCAACTCCTTATCACTAAGGTACCAGAGCTCCTAGCTGAACAAGGAATAAGAATGATAGAAGAACTGATGTCTTTGAGTTGTGACATTGGACAAGAGTACTGAATATCCCATGGACTGCCAAAAGAACAGATACGTTTTAGAAAAAGTGCAGCCAGATTAGTCCTTGGAGGTAAAGATGGTAAAGTTCCATCTCCTTTACTTTGGGCATGTTGCTAAGAGAAGCCACTGGAAAAGGACATCATGCTTAGAAAAGTAGAGGGTCTGAGAAAGAGTGAGAGAGTGAAAGACTGTCAATGAGATGGGCGAGTGATGACTTGACTCAGTGACACATAACAACAACAGTAATAATAACTACTAACTTTATCAAGCATGCAATCAAGATACATTAATAATAACTTGAGGTTGAAATGCAAAGGTTGGAAAGAAAGAAAAATTGATAGTTGAATAATGTGAATTTAGTAGTAAACATGAGTTTGTTACTGTTGTGTGCCGTCAAGTCAGAACTGACTATAGCTGACCCTCCCGTGGTTTTTAAGAAGCAGTAAATCACATAGGAGGAGATTACCAAGCTTTCTCCCTTAGCTAGCAGATTAGAACCGTGTGCTTGTGAAATGGCAGCAAAGCTTTTTACCACAGTCCCATAAATAGAATGTTTTAAGACTAACAACATAGTTGTTACAAAAACTTTTTTAAAAATTTTATTTATTTTATTCATTGTTGTATGTTTTCTTCCCTTCCCCTTCTTTCTCCTCCCTCAGTCCACTTTGCAATTGATCTCTTGTTCCAGATTCTTGTCATATATATAGTGCCTAATCATATTTTCCTTTCAGACAGTTTTTCTCATCTGTTTCAATGCAGTGTTTATTTTCTATCCACTCTTTTCCTATTCTCCCCAGTATCCTCTACCAGTCCTGTTTTGTTACAGTGGTATTATGCAGTATTTTCCTTTTTCTGGAGATAATTTCACTCAGCCTAGTCCCCTCCAGGCTTCCCCATGTTGTGTAATCTTTTAGGAATTCATTGTTTTTCAGTGCTGCTTGTGTGAATATATCATAGTTTTTCTAGCCATTTCTTTGTTGATGGACACTTGAGTTGATTCCACCTCTTGACTGTTGTGAATAATGCAGCAATAAATATGGGTATGTATACATCTGTTTGAGCCATGGCTCTGGTTTCTTTAGGGTATATTCCCAGTAGTGGAATTGCTAAGTCAAATGGTGTTTTTGTTTCCAACTTTTTGAGAAAATGCCAGACTTCCTTAGCTGTACCATTTTACATTCCCTCCAGCCCTGAATAAGAATTCCAATTTCTCCACAACCTCACCAGCATTTGTTGTTTGCTGCCTAGTTGAGCTTTGCTATTGTTGATGGAGTGAGATGATATATGATTGTTTTGATTTGCACCTCTCTGATAGCTAGGGATTTGGAACATTTCTTCATATGTTTGTTTGCCATTTGAATATCTTCTTTGGTCAAGTGTCTATATCCTGTGTCCATTTTGCAATTGGGTTATTTACATTTTTCTTATTAAAGTGCTGTAAAAATTTTTTAAAAAATATAAACAGTGACTATATACATAGATTTTGAGTGAAGGAATATATAGGAATGACATTGACTACATCTGTGGGAAGAGATGGTGGAAAAGCTCAGTATCATCAGTCAGAACTGAGCAGGTGCTAAATGTGGCAAAAACCATCAATTGTTTATATGCAAGGTCAAATTCAAGATTCAGGAAATTAAAACAAGTCTGTTAGAGGCAAAATAAGGTGTTGATTTTAGAAACCATGTCAAGCATTTATTTTATGTACTGAACACTAATGATTGGAGACCAGATGCATTGCAGGATAACTTAAAGAATATTATATGTGAAGAAAGCCGAAGAACATTAAAACAAGGAGAAACAAAGGTCCAAAATGAATATCAGAAGTGTCTAAACTTGATCTATGTGCCATCGATTCACTTGTGACTCATAGTGACAACAGCCCTAAACACTTCTCTAACCTGTGCCAATCACACTGTCTCTGACAAACCTACCACCATTACTCCAGTCACAGAGTCAATCCATTTCATCAAGGGTCTTCTCCTCCTCCACTGTCCTTCCACCCTCCCAAGCATGACATCCCTCTCCAATAATTGGTTCCTCCTTGCAACATGCCCAGAGTATGTCAGGCGGAGCTTCAGAATCCTTGCCTCCAAGGAACATCCTAGTTTTACCCTCTCCAGGTCAAACCTGTTTGTTCTCTTAGCAGTCCATGTTATATTCAGTACTCTTGTCCAGTACCACAGCTCAAAGGAATCAATTATCCTTCTGTCATCCCTAGTCATTGTTCAGCTTTCTGATGCATAGCAGGCAGTTGTGAAGACCACGGCCTGGATCAGGTGCACTTTTGTCTCCAAACTGACATTGTTGTTCTTCAATACTCTGCATATGTCCCCGACAGCAGACATTCCCAATGCAATTTATCTTGCATTTGAATTTGAATGACAGTGGTTTTAAAATCAGAAAAAGTATATGTTATGTTTATATCTTTCTCTATACTTAATATCCCATGGCGTCTCTGAGAACTACAACTTTAGGCTTGACTTTGTTTTTCATTTTTTTTCACCTCAAGAAATGAGCCTGGAGAACATTATGCTGAGTGAAATATCTCAATCACAAAAGGACAAATACTGCCTAACACTGAAATATAAAATAGGAATGGGATGGAGGGGGGAGAATAGGAAGAATGAATAAATAATAAACACTGCATTGAAACAGATGAGGGGAAGAATGGTCTGAGAGGAATATATGATTAGGTATCATGTGTGACAAAATCTGGAACAAGAGGTACATTGCAGAATCTACTGGGGAAGGAGAGATGGAAGAAAATGTGCACTAGTGAACGAATAAAAAGATGTAAAAAAAAAAAAAAGAAATGCCAAGTAAGTTCTTCCCTTTTTGTTCTCTGACTCC